CATTCGATAATTTACACCAAAGATGAGATGAACAGCTTTCCTTATTGCTTATATTGGAGCTGAGTGTTGCCAATGATGCTGAAAATATCTGACCTTTGTTAAGAAGACAAAGTGGCAGGGCATGCAGAAGGTTAAAAATGATTCTCCCTGTCTGATTTTTGTTTAGCCTTGTGCTGTATCTATGTTTATAGTAGAAGTGTTCTCTCACACAGACTGTGTACCAGATGTAAGCCACAACAATCTAGAGTATCCCTGTGACTCATATCTTCATTGTGCTAGAATAGAAACTACATGCTAAAGCACATGCTTAACTTTAAGCATGTAGATACATTGCCTTTGCTGGAACTACTGATGTCCTTAAAGTTAAGCACCTGCTTAAGTGTTTTGCCCATGTGTGTATAAACTCCCTTTCAACACAGTGGCTGGCCACCTTGGTAAAGACAACAGCATTTTTTAAAAGGTGAACTTAGTGCGTCTGAAGGGATCCAGATTGACATCCCAAAGACTCGAGTCTTCCGGCCATAAAAGATATGACTATACTGGAACAGGTGGTGTAATTTCCAGGTTAGGTAGTTGTACCCGCTCTAGTTCTGATTGAGCTAGTGCACTAAAAATAGTGTGGCTGCAGTGGCACACAGGGACAGTCTATCTGAGGCCTTAGCTATATATTTAGGTGGCTAGCTGTGCAACTGTGGTTACTTGACTATTTGTAGCACACTAGCTCGATCAAAGCTAGCATGTGTGCATCTACCCAAGCTGGAAATTATACCTCCGGCTGCAGTGTAGACACACCCAAAGAGGTAAGCCAAGGCATGGGAAGCAGCAGCTCGAACTTTCTCACACCAGTGTGATACAGGCTTGGCTTGGAATGGGACCAGCCTTAAGGGCAAAATGGTAGTTCAGTTTTCATGGTCATTCAACCCTTGGCCTCTCCTCTGAGACTGTCAACAAGGATAACAACCATGTTGGTGGTTTTTGTGATGTGGCTGTGTGTACAATAAAAACTGAACTGACATCACCACCTCATTTCATATAGGACACCAGACAGCTTTCAGACAGTAATAATGTTTTGTCACTGCTGGCCTGGGCTGGAATTCAAGCCCCTTATTCCAGTGGCTCTCAACCTTTCCAGCCTACTGTACCCCTTTCAGGAGTCTGATTTCTCTTGTACACCCCCAAGTTTCACCTCACTTAAAAATGACTTGCTTACACAATCAGACACAAAAATACAGAAGTGTCACAGCAACTATTACTGAAAAATTGCTCTTTCTAATTTTTTACCATATAATTATAAAATAAATCAATTGGAATATAAATAGTGTACTTACATTTCAGTGTAGAGTATATAGAACAGTACAAACAAGTCATTGTCTGTATGAAATTTTAGTTTGTACTGATTTCGCTAATGCTTTTTATGTAGCCTGTTGTAAAACTAGGCAGATATCTAGATGAGTTGATATACCCCTGGAAGACCTCTGCACAGGGCCGCCCAGAGGGGGGGCAAGTGGGGCAATTTGTCCCAGGCCCCACAGGGGCCCCCACGAGAATATAGTATTCTATAGTATTGCAACTTTTTTTTATGAAGGGGCCCCCGAAATATCTTTGCCCCAGGCCCCCTCAATCCTCTGGGCAGCCCTGCCTCTGCGTACACCATGGGGTACGCATACATCTGTTTGAGAACCACTGCTTTATTCCATGATGGCTCCTTGTTGATCCAGTCACCCAGCAACTTCACTGTTATCCATACAGAATATGCTTCAAAGTACCCATCTGCTTCTCACCAGATTTTCAACTTTGGATATTAGGTGGTTAGGAAAAGGAGGTATGAGGAAGGTGTATCCCCCCTATGTTGACTCAGTAGTCTGAAATCTTGGGATCTTATTGGATGAATTGCTCTGCTAAGAGTCCCAGACAGTAGGGGTAGCCCAAATTTTCCCTATACCATCTTCAGGTTTCTTACTGATTTTGTAGTTAAGGCAGTGGACTGGGAGCCCGATCTGGGTTTAATCTGAGCAGTGCCACAGACTTCTTGTGTGTGACCTTGGGCAAGACACTGAAAAGACTTCCACTGACTTCAATGGACTTTGAAGCAGGCTTTTAATCTTTGTTCTCAGTTCTCCATTTGTAAAAATGTGTTTCTTTTTTTACAGTGCAAATATTTGTAATAAAAATAATTATCTAAAATGAGCACTTAACACATAGTATTCTGCATTATAATTGAAATCAATATATTTTAAAATGTAGAAAAACATCCAAAAATATTTATAGTAAATTTAAATTGGTATTCTATTATTAACAGTATGATTAAAACTTTGATTAATCATGATTAATTTTTTAATAACTTGACAGCCCTAATAGATGTATAAAATCTCCTTCACAACTGCAGGATGTTTTTGGCCTTGTGTAAAGTTTTTTTGTTACTTTCTAATAAGATATGTCAACTTGTCTCTGAGCTGCATGGAACATTAGACTTAAAATGAAAGAATGTAAGCTGGTTAATTAGGCAAAATTAATTGGCTATAAATACTTGTGGTGAGGGGTTAATTCTTCCCTTCACTTAGTTTAAAATAAGAGCCATAGAGATTTGAACTCTGGCTCACCATGTACTCCTAAGATGGCTGCCACTTGTGCATTTAACTTTGGCCCCTTTTGATTCCTGATGAAAGGTTTCACCAATTGCCTCAGCACAGTGGAGAGAGGCTGTGGCTGAATGTCTGGTCTGGGCCTGCTCTGATGCAGTCAGTTGAAATTGGTGCAAAGGAAGTGGGTTGCCATCTTTAAAAGCCTCTTATGTTGATTTTTTGAAAGTTGAGTGTTCTCATGAGCTAAAGGATAACAGGAAACAAAGATGAGTTGTTGCAGCTGGGAAAGTGGGAGTGATTCAACTAAGAAATAAAGTTTGAGGACCAAAACTTAAAAATATTTCTTTTTTTCTTTAAATCATCCATTTAAATTCCCAAACTCCCAGCTTATCATCTTGGGAAGTGTGTCTCGCAGGTTAGCTTTTCCAAGCTCTACTTGAAGAGTAGAGGAGAGTTTTTAAATCCCTCTTTATTCCTCAACTTCTAAACATTCTGGGATTAGATTAATTGTGGTGTAACTCCATTGTCTTCTCTGCAGTTCTCCCAGGGCATAATTTGATTCACACACTGCTGACTCTTGTTAAAAAGATAACAACTAGAAGCACTCTCCTTATGTGCAAGAAACTATTTTTGTATTTTATTTGCTAATTTATTTTATTTGATATTTATGAAGAACAATGGCATTTATTTTATTTTGCCCCCATTTGTCATCTTGTTTCCACAGACAGTCACAATAATGCAAGTGACACGTATTTAGAACCGTTAGAGAAGTCCTAAAATTACGCAAGGGCTGTTTTTTTCCCTCGGTCTCTATTGAAGTAATGCACAGAACACTAGACCCCTGACTTACCTGAACTTCCTGAAACTTGGATTATCTGAAATTGGGTTCTTTCCCCCAAGATGCACCATTGATATAGAACAGTGGGCCCTGTTAACCAAAATAGTTCTTTCCTTTCTCATCCGCTGTGAGACTCTTTGATTCATGAGGGACTACAGAAGAGAAGAGGAGTTGTGGGCCAGGGGGAGCTTTAGAGCAGAGACTCAGGCTTACTGCTGTGATTAAAGCTTCATCCTCAATTTACTTCCCTTCTGGCAAATTTCAGTTGGCTATTAGAGCAATCTGTTTCTCCTGTGTGAGCTGTCTGAAGCATCACATGCCACTGCTGGTGGGAATTAGAGGTCCACCAATGTTCTACAATACAGGCAGTTGGCACTTATGAACGTGACTGTGACCAGACCTGCCAAAGATAGAGCAAAGACTTGATTTCCTAGCAGCTCATTTGGGGCTTAGGTGAGATACGCCTGCTGATATTGCCAGTGGTCAGGAAGGAACCCTGCTGCTTTGTAAACTTCCTAAATTTAGAGGACAGTGAGTGATGCTGTGATAATTGGGCTTACAAATGTACCCTAATGGTAAGCTCAATTGTAAAAAAGTATATGAAAGTTCAAGAGATGTTGCAATAACCTATAAAACAAACGTTCATGGAAAGTAGTTGCTTTCAATAATGAATGTTATAAAAAGGTATGAAAGTGAGACAAAAAAATTGAATTAGGCTAAGCAAAGAGGCCTATTAATATAACTCAAAGACCGTAGTTTAGTAAAAACAAGAAATGTGGAACCAAAAACTAATGAACCAAAATTTGTGTCAGATACTAGGCCTAATTGGTGGACAAAATAATGAGGGGATAAGCTACTCCACCCACCACTCCTTTTTTGGGGGGAGGAATAAAAACAGAATGAGGCTACTGGAGCAACTTCGTCATCATAACTGTCCCCCAGTCTCTCCTGGGACCCTAGCCTTCGTCATCCTGATCCCGAGAGATGTCCTGACCAAACTGGGCCAGAGAGAGGGATCCAGATGGCAGTGCTAGTCCTACCAGCTCCATCTGAATCCCAAAGACCACCTGGAATAAAATGGGATCAGACTCTAACAACAGCAACAACAACAGTTCCAGTCCATTTCAACTCACTTCTCTTTTCCCCAAAAGGACAGTTATTATCATCGTTAATACCATCTAAGAGACTGTCAAACAAGACGGGGAAGTTTCCTTCTAAAAACTCTCTCCAGCTAAAGGAAAGGGAACAAGGGATGTTGTTAAAATGAAAGATGGACTTAATATTTTTCATTGCAGATGCTTTAACCATTTTTTCCTTCTCTGTATCTTTAATTAAAAATTACAAGGATTTTTTAATGCTGTATTTGCCATAGTATTAACAAGCTGAGGTATACCAAACCCCAGACCTTGTTTAATACATGTTGGACAGTGCCTGGGTTATGTTAACACTTTTGGCCCATGTATTCCATCTAAATTAATACAACGGTGAAATGAATAGCCACTTGCAGACTGACTTGCATAGTTGAGGCTTTTGATGTATTGGTGTCCATGTAACAGAATTATCATTTCATTTCTTGTTAGGCTTTAGCAGTGAGTACCCTTGAGAAGCAGGAAGATGATGAGTGACGCAAGTGACATGCTGGCTGCAGCTTTGGAACAGATGGACGGCATTATAGCAGGTAAAAACATTATGCTGTTTGTTTAACCAGTTCAATCCTCCTTTCATCTGTGTAGGGCTGAGTTCCAGTTGAAAGAGGATGCACATAGAACTGTGTTTGATGACTCCCTACTAACTAGTTGTGAAACTCAAAGGATGCAAACCGATTTGAAAGAGGATGGCACAAATCCCTGCAAACACACAGTGCCAATTCAGTTGCACCTGTTCTCCTATCTCCCCATCACTACACTTCACAAAACCATTGGGCAATGTGGTTCAACTTGAAGGACTGGAATAGCCAAGGATGTTTCAAATCAGGATTAGTATTTGTTTGAAGAGAAGTGAGGTGTCAAGAAGGGAAAGCTTGTCTCTAGTGCTGTACCACACTCAAGTCTTGAGAGAAATTAATTAAATAGGCCTGAATGGGACAATTCAGATTAAGAACTGAATTTTGATCCCTTCAAAGTAGGGGCTTTTTGAATCAGGGCTTTGGTTTGGGCCTATCTCTAACTTTAATGTTTTCATAAGCATGAGCAATTCACTCATACATTTTTACTGGGCTGGGGAGAGAGATCAAAAAGTATATTACTTCCTGAACTCTTAAAACTGTGTCCAGTGAGCTGTGAAAAAAATACAATCATATAAAACAGAGAAACAAAGCAGACAGAAGTTTTTGGTTTGATTCCATTCCAGCAGAGCTATCCAAACAGCTGTTCAGATTGAAGAAGTATTCTGCGTAGGCAGCATCAGAGATATGAAGGCTTCAACAATCCCACATACAATAATTTCCTTTAAAAAAAAAAATAGTTTCAAAAAGTGCCTGCTTTGCTAGAACTGACTTTTCTCCACAGTGCTATCTTCTTAAAGACCTCTGGCACACATGTTCAGTGTATACAATGGGTCATAATGAAGTCCTAGGATTGATATAGTCTATCTATAAAAAATCTTTATATTAGCATGCAGATCTGGTCAAGCGTCTGAATTATGAAGGGGCCAAGTAGGCTTGGACAGCATGGGGTTTAATGTAAAAATAAAGGGTGGTTATCAGGATGTTTAAGACACCAAAGACTTAATTACATATGTCTTTACAAACCTTTAAATAATATTGCAAAGGAGTTGTTAATTTTGTCCTATCGCCTCCTATACTTCTGCAAGGGATTTTTCTCTTTTTAATTTTCTCAAAGGGAATTAATAGTTGGAATGCTTGCATTTTTCAGACTGCCAGACAAATGAAGGCTTAGAAGGAAGTGTACATTCTGCATATATCTGCAATATCCAAACAGTTAACAGCATAAAAGCTGATACTTTGTGGTTAATGTCTCATTGTGTCTAGGCATTACAGTATTAAGTCGTTACAGACGTGACAGTCTAAATCAGTGTGTTGAAGTATCGAGACAGAATTAGCTAAGCTAACTTAAATCAGCTTTAACTGTGAATTTCTTCCCTTTTTTATTGAACCTTTAACTTTAGAGTGAACGTCCTTTGTGTTAGTGAATAATGACTTTTGCTTATTAATATTCACGTGTGAATGCCACAATATCCAACTTGTTTGGTCTTAGGGTTTTAATTTTAGGGGAAGTCCTTCAATATTTCCTTCTCTCCCTCTTCATTTATTCTCTTTATTTTTTTAAAGGCTTCCAAGCCCTTGCATCAGGGTAACCTATCTTTTTGAGTGAAAAATGTTGACTGCAATTCCCTGTGGAACCCATCAGTGTCTCTCTTGGGTCATGTAATCACCACAGAGTGAGACAAAACACTGCTAGGGCTGAGCATGTTTCTTCCATAGTATTCCCAACCTCTGGTAGCCTAGAGAGCTGGGGGACCAAGCTGTGCCTTGAACTCCAGTGTGCTTTGTATTGGCATGTTACTCTGCTGCAAGACAGTCCTAATAGCCTGTGCTATATTATGTTAGGTTTATTGTACATTAAAATTGTAGAAAAGATACAAGTTACAGGTATCATCAGGACACCAGATGAGTATCAGTGAAGAATTACCTATGTCTGTGCTTATAACATGGAGATGAGCCTGCATCCAAACACCCTTAAAATCTGGGAAGTTCAAAATCCAGATCCAGGTCTGAATTTTGTTGGTAATAAATATTTGTCACTAGGAATCCCTGTAGGTGCCGAACCTCCTAGATGTATTATAGCAAGTCTCATAATTGTATTTATATATTTATTTACTCTTGTGGCTTATCTAATGTAATCCTTGTCTCTTTACCTTGCTTTTGTCTAGGTTCCAAGGCTTTGGAGTATTCCAATGGTATATTTGATTGTCAGTCCCCTACCTCCCCATTCATGGGGAGCCTGCGAGCACTGCACCTTGTGGAGGATTTGCGTGGTTTATTAGAGATGATGGAAGCGGACGAAAAAGAAGGACTGCGATGTCAGGTCCCAGATTCAACAGCAGAAGCTTTGATTGAATGGCTCCAAAGCCAAATGGTACAATATCACCTTGACTTTCTTATAAAACATTGGGTGTCCTGTCTTACAGGCTACAGCTGGTCAGAAAATGGGTTTTTATTTTCTACAGAAAAATTCTGAATTTTCAGTCAAAAATTGAAAACCAAAATATTTGGGACAAAATGGGAAATAATTTGGTTCAGGAAAGCTGCGGCAGAGCCTCATGTCCTTTATAGCCTGGGGTCCCTGGTTGGACACTTTCCGTGATGTACCACAGTATCTCCCCTTGGTGGGAAAATTTCCCAGTGATTGGGCATTCAATATTTTTATGAAAAAATCAAAATTTTATGTGGAAAGCAGACACTGTTAGTGAAAATTTTAGTTAGTTGAAACCCAATTTTCTATCAAAAATCAGTTTTGATGGAAAATTTTTGATCAGATTTATAGTTTACACTTTTTGGTATTAATCTATCAGGAAAACTTAGAATGACAGCATCTTTAACTGACTGTTAGGTTGGTTTAAGAAGGAAATTTTCCCTTGCCCATGGCTTGTTACTACTGCGTTTGAGAGCAGCGTGTTACTCTGTAGTAGAGTGTGACTTAGGAAAGCACAGAGGAAGTAATTATGCACAGTATATGTGAGACATAATTTAGGGCAGCCTCTTCAAAGAGGCCTCAGCCTGACCACTAATTTTGCATCCCTAATCCCCTTCCGGTTGCAGTATTCCTGCTGTACTTGCTTGCAGGTGCAAGTGAAAGTCTTCCTTGTTTGTGAGTACCTTTGGTGCTGGTTTGGTGGCTTAGGGCAGAATACATATCTCAGGGGAGCCCAGGTGGTGGAAGTGAAAATTATGTATTAGACCTCATACTTCAGCGTTTGTCAATCTCTAAGTCTATGTACACATTAGCACAAACGTCAGTATACGTTATGTCAGTCAGGAGTGTGAATAAGCCATCCCCGAGCGATGTAAGTTACCTCGACCTAAGCACCAGTGTGGAAGCTCTCCCGCCAGCGTAGTTACCGCCGCTCTCAGGGGCTGGAGTAACTAAGTTGACAGGAGAGCTCTCTCCCATCGGTTTAGAGTGCCTGTGCTAGCAACAGTACAGCTCTGTAGTGTAGCCACGGCCTAAGTGTTAGCGATCAGAATAACACCTAATGCAAGGAGGGGCAGGCCACATCTGCCTACTGCAAGGTTTTGCAGCTTCCTCTGAAGGAGCTAGTGCTGTCTGCCATTGGAGACCAGATACCAGACTAGATGGACCTTGGGTGCACTTAGGGGAAGAGGGGGTAGCGGGCAGTTCTTGTTTTCCTAAGACTGCATTCTGTTAGTAACATTCACAACACTGCATGCAAAATCAGTTGTGTGCAAAATTAGAGGCCATTTTTGAATATTTGCCCCCGTAACAATGTAATGCTTTTCATTGATAGAATTTGCTTCTATTTGATTTCAGGTGCCGTCTAGTGGCACATGTAGTTCTATGAAATCTCAGTTGAGAGATACTGGTCCTGGGAATAATACAGCTGCTGAACTTTTCTCTTATTGAAGGTTCTAGGAGGAGAGCTGTGTTTTTGAAGTAGCTTTTGCTTTATACTATTCAAGTGGCCCAGGGCCTGATCTAAAGCCTGCTGAAGTCAGTGGAAGTCTTTTCATTGACTTCAGAAGGCTTTGGATCAGGGCCCACAGTGTTGAAATCTGTGATCAAGACCCAAAGTGGCATAACACATGGATGTCAGAAGGAAGAGATTGAATTATATGGGATTCGATTCTTCAAAATATATAAAGTTATCTATAATTTCAGCACCTCGAATGTCTGTAATTCACAGTAATTAATATCAACTCTAGCTAATACCAGATGTGTGTGGAACAGGCGTAAACATGGGACTCAAACATGTGCTGTCCAAGAGGTTGATTTAAAAATATATATATATTTGAATGCTCATGAAAGGTGCTAAGTAAATTATATCCATGATTAATGAAAAATCTCTGCAGGTAAAGCATGGACAGTACAAGTTTGGCTATGCTGGTCTGCCAGTAGTATGCCATGTTCATGAGCGGGAGGGGCCATCTGTATCAGCAAGAAGATAATTCCATCTCTGTGACTGTTCAGATTCTCTGCTAAGACTATCAATAAGGATGCCAAATAGCGCCAGTTTGGGTGGTGGGTTTGTGATGCAGATGTGCCTGCCTATTAGAAACTGGAAAGAAATCAACAAATTCTTTTCACATAGACCACCAAACAGCTGTCAGATGGTAACAGCTTTCAGTTACTGTTGTCACAGGTAGAATTTGAATTCGTGATCTAGATGGGAAAGGGTCTTGATTAGCATTCCTCATATAGTTCTGTATAATGTGGTATAGTTAACAGATTTCTTTCAATCCCACAATATTGAAATTGGCTGTCTCAAGTTCTCCTCATGGCTCTTCCCGACCTCACACCAAATTGTTCCTGCTGTACTTATATGTGTAGCCCCTTTGGGATGACTCGCAAAGGAAGGAGAGCAGGATTCTACACATTCAGCATTTAAAAACAAAAAGAACTTCCTGTTTCCGATGTCCTTTTTACATAAAGGGACAAGTAGTTAAGTTAAAATACGGATGTGAAATATTTTGAGGAGAATGGTTAAGTGTGCCAAATGGCCAGTTGGAACCAGCTGTACGTGTTGTGCACTAATATCTGATCATGGAGTTGTTTATGTAACGTGATCAAGTAGTTTCCATTGAGGAATTCAAAGGTAAACTAATGTTTCCATTGAACAAAATGAACTCTGAACATCTCCATTTGAAATCCACAATGTGTTAATTAACTAAACGGGATAGAATCAAGCTGCTTTTCTTGTCTGCTTTTCTAACTGAGGTGAATAAAAAAATGTGCAGTGGAAATCATACACGCATTTCCCTATGTGCGTGCTGGAAGTGGATGGATTTATGTGATTAAACTTAGAGATGGGCCCAGTCGTTCACAGTTTGGATCTGGATTCCGGCTTCTTCACAGTTCAGAAGTATTGGGATCCAGAGTTTCAGTGTCTCTCATCATAGACACAGGGAATAGCTGTGACGTTCACAATGAGATCATAACCTTTCCCGAGTTTCAGGGATCTTCAGTTTGTTGCTGATGAATAAAAATTCTCATTCTATTCTAATGTGTATCTACTTAATTCATATAGTGCCCAGGTCAAAGCATTTATTCACAGTCTCTTTTCTCTGCAAATAGATCTGTTTTTGTTTCTCAATGCTTTCCAGATCAGATATGGTCAGTTTGCAAATACATTTTTTTTATTTCTAACTATGAGCCCCGCAAATTTGAAAGGCTGTCTTTTTATCCTTCTTGCATATCATCATGGGTAATAAAGTATTTCAAACCAAATTCTGCTTTTCATTGCATCACTGCAACTTTGTTGCTTTCAGTTTGAACTAGATACATAATTCTGTTGAAGCACAAAGGGAATAGAATTCAACTCGCTCTCCCAGAGTTGGCTCCAAGGTACTAATAAGAGTTAAATGCAGCAAAACCTTTTTTAGTCACTAAAGTCAGTAGCTCTGGCTGGGAACACTTACACGGGAGCAAATCTCTTGGGTAAAAAGGTATACATTTTACCTAATCGCTTTTATGAGTGGAGCCTCACTTTAAGCAATGTAGAGTAAAAATCAAACAGAAAACATAAAATCTAAAGACACCTGTCAGTCATAACTGCATCTTCCTCTTACCAGGACCAGCTTCCTCTATGGCAGTGGTTCCCAAACTTCAACAACCTGGGAACCCCTTTCACTAAAATGTCAGGTCTCGCGAACCCCCTCCTAAAAATGAATATTTCCAGGGATTTTCTCCTTTACCGGAGTATAAATTATAAAAGCAGTGATCTTGGAAATATAAAATTTGTTGTTATGACATGCTTATTGCACAGTATTTATTATTATTATTTATCATTACAGTATTTTTATTACATTATGAAAACGGCAACACTCTTCCAAGTTATCACTTTTGTAGCTTGTATCAATGTGAATCAGCCTGTTATAAGACAAGGCTCCTTTGTTTCATCAAGGAGTATCAGATGTGAAACAACATGAAGGTATTTAAGAAGCCAACTCAAAGAGTTCCTACTACACAAGCATTCAGGTCTTGAGCAGTCCAGGCAAACAACGCATGTTACAACAAAGCTTAAACTTGTTCTTCATAATAATTTTAAAAACAATACTAGCTGCCTATTTCATTTTAAAAACAGCAAAAAATATCCACCTCCCTTTCCATTTCTTATAAGGAGTCTTGAAGTTTCAATCTCCTCAGTGTGATAGATCTGCTTGCTTTGATCTGCTTAGCTCTTGGAAGTCCAGCGGCTCCGGGCTGTGCTGCCCAGGGTCCCTAGGGACAGCTCTGTCCGCCATTAGGGAATTTTTTCCCGAGAACCCCCTGTAACATTTTGCGAACCCCCAGGGGTTCACGAACCCCAGTTTGGGAACCACTGCTCTATGGGTAGCAGGCACTCTCAAACTGCCAGCAAGTTTCTTAAAATGCTTTCCCATAACCATGAGCATCGCCTCACTCTTCTCTGAGTTGAGTTTTCAAATTAAAATTGGATGATTTGTTGTTGCTTTTTAAGTGATATTAATTATTGATTACAGAAAAAACATGGTCAAGTTGAGTGAGTGTCCTTTGCCTTTCTGGGAAGGATGCCTGCATAACTCACTTCGTCTTGTTTAAAGATGGGACTGGTGCAGAAGCCCAGATCTAAGCTCCCACTAAACTCCCCAAAGTTTAGATCCAAACCTTTCATCCTTGGCCCATCTCTAATGGTGGTGGTGGTATAACTCTGCGTGCTTTTTATACAGAGGAGCCAGTGATCTTTAACAGCCAGTGACCATTTTTTTAGCCAAGTTTCATGTTCACCATGGATCAGTTCATGTGTATTTTCAGCGTTTGGTAATGAGTTGACTTGTGATGCTGACAGTGATTTCCTGACTCCGTGCATGTAGTTGTTGCCGTCCTCTCGTAAAATCAGCTGCAGGTTCTGCCTCCTCTTTAATGAGTTAATTCTTTCAGAA